GCCTTGAGAAATGTTTTGTTCACTTCAATTCCTCATTGAAAAAAATTAAAGGCAAATGTATTACATCTCTAGAATGATCTCGCCTTGAAACACCACACTTTACAAAGGGCCTGTGCATCCAAAACACAGCACAAAATGCATGAACTACAGCTACTACAACCCTAATTTCCTCCCTCTATCCTTCCGTTTTACCCCCTCCCCCATCTATCTTTCAATACCATCTAAATATCTACCTATTGGACTCCGCCTTTAGTCATCCCCCCCTTTTCGTCTCCCTTACTTATGGTTTAACCCCATCATTGTGAAGGACTTCAAGACATTATTCAATGTATAGGATGTTGTACAACTGCAAGTTATCATTGTTTGTTGAAATGATCCTTCAGGAAACAAAAGCAGCAAATTGGAAGAGAGAAACAAATACTGTATTAAAATACCCACTCAAATTGGTTTCGATCTGTATGAACAATACATCATTAGGTTTCAAAATGCTGAACATAAGAACTTAACCTCTGATAAATGTTCATATATTACAAAACTAACAGCTTTCTGGGCAGCTGCTTGTACTGACTGATGAAACCCATATTTTATTCTGCTCTCAAATCTCCAGTTTATTCTCAGAGTTATTCATCTTCCTTATGTGTGTAGTGACAGCCAGCCCCAGTGCCTAATGTGAATGCACGTGTGTGTGTGTGTATATATATATATAAATTAATTGCCATGCTTCCGAAACAAATATTATGGAGAGCTTTTCTGTTACATTACAGATCATCGCTAAAACTATGAGACAGATGCATGACCCAAATCTTTTACAGATAATTATCCAGTTAATGAGGTAATGTATGCTTAATATAGCGATACATACATACATTGCTGTGTTTGTTGTACTTTTGGTGTGAATGTTCACTGTTTAATATAATAATAATCCTTGTTTTTGATATAGCGCTTTTCACGTCTTCTAATCGTCTCAAAGCGCTTCACAGAATATACTGTTAATTGAATTGACTGTATATTTGTGGGTGATATGCGGCAACCAATTGCGCACAGCAGTGTCCCTCAAACAGTCATGGTTTGAGTGACAAAATTATTGTTTTTTTTAAAGGATTATTGTCCTCGGAAAAACAATCTGCCAATCGACTAACAACAGGGTTCCTACTTACTGATAGGTAAACAGCGGTGTGTGGAGCAAGGAAACTTGCCCAACAAATTTGTCCCCAAGTTTACAACTTGGTTTCAACTAAACAAGGTTCCAATAACCCAGGCACCTAACAGACTTAATTAAGTCACTTTGTAGTAATTCATTATAAAGGAACTGGAAAATATTAAGCTCAAAATATCTCACAGTTATAATGATGATCAACCTAACTGTTACGAGCGTAGCTTTGAAGCAGAAAGGAACCAAAGGGAGGAGAATTGGAGGGATGGATTTTCTGAGATCAATCAATGCAATAGAAAGCTAGCGGCTAAAGCTACAACAGGATGGATGGATTGTAAGTAGACATGATGGCCCTGAGAACAGGAATCATTCCGATAACTACCAATGCTTCAGTGTACCTGAAGGCATGAAAGTGAAGATGCATGTCACCACGTTGAACACCAGGTTATAGGATTCCTCAAAGTGCTCCAAGATGTGAAGTTAGGTATTGAAAGAATGCATCACACACTCTAGTACCTCAGCCATTGAATCCTAATAGACCGAGGAAATGACATTACAAATGGTCATTTCCAAAAGAAAATAGCTTGCTCCATAAGGCCATGGAAAGGTAAACTACGTCTTGCAAAGAGACTGATACTCTTCTACTCAGACCCTGTCCTTGGAACTGATAGAGCACTCCATCATAGCAAACAGTAAGATATGGTAGAGTACATGCCGTATGCAGCCAAGGTTAGGGTTCAATATATATTGGGATGACAGCATAAGGGCTCATAGCTTGATAGATCTGCAAGGTCCTGGAGATCTGTTAAATTATGTACTTGTGGTAAGAGTCTCAAAGTAACTGGATCCCTTTCGCACTTTAAGGCAGCACTGACGAATAGTTCATCCAGATTTGCCAAAGACAAAGCACATGTGCCACTTACAAAACTAAATAGTAATAAAAATCCTTATATTCGAAATAATGCTTTCCACATTGGGAGGACATCTCAAAGCACTTCACAGGATAAACCATAAAGTGTAGCGACTGTGTGTTTTGCTGACGAACAAGAGCAATCCATTTACAGCTCCTGATTTTATCAGGCACCAAATCCTGTAACTTTTTAACAACAATACTATCTGTTCAAGGGTTTAAAATTAACACTTTTTCCCAGATTCACTCTGAATTCATTGACTGCATCTCTGTGCAGGGAGCAATAGATGGAACAATTTTAATTCAGATCCATTCTTAAAACTGCTTTAAATAATATTACTATTGCAATAATAGTAATTACTTTTTGAGTCACATCAAAAAACCCAGGATATCTTTGTTGTGAACAATGTATTAAAACTACCACTCATTATACCAATGTACAGTTACATCCAGCCATATGTATTTTTTTGGTCAGCCAGGAATCTGACACATGCGAAAAGAGTATCCAAACCAAGCTGTTAATTCCATGAATCCCACCAACACATGGAAATTCCAAAGGTAGATTGTTGGAATGGAATGGGCATGCTCTCCCTGAATGGATACATCCTGCTTACTTAATTCGGGAAAACATTAGGCACAGGTTGGCAAGAGCCTGGGACCCCAGAGTGTGCATTGGGGTACTGCTGGAGTCTTACCAGCTAATGTGTACAAGGCCTATTGCACAGATAACTATCCAGTTCTATCATCATATCTCCAAATATAGCTACAGTGAACAACCTGTCAATATACTGTGGTTACGATATGAAATAGCAGAGTATTGCTGTCTTATTAATAGATACCACCAACGCACTCAATAAATATTGTAACACATCTTATTTTAAGATGTGTTAAACACACACAGGGTAAGAAAGTCATTGCTGCATGTAAAACAATCCTGTGTTGGAATACTTGAATCCAATATCTAACTTCAATTATTCATATTTTATTGAACACATGAGATTTGATGATATACCAATGTAAGATTTTCAATGGGATTGAGGAGCGATCTCGGATCAAGATGTGCGGATACGCCAAGGCAGCAGAATAAGAAGTTCACCATTGTCAAGGGAAATTTAGTGACAGACACCAGGAAGCATTTATTTTCCTTAAGCATGTATGCTCCAATGAACAATTGGAGCAAGTTCCCAGGAAGGTTGGTTGAGGCAAAGATACTGGACGATTTTCTTAAAGTATGAGAAACCTTTTTTTTCCAGTCAGTCAGATGACTGACACATATAGAAACCCAACACCATGCTTAAGAACATCTAAACAGACAGATAAGGCATTATATCAAATACAAGAATTATAATTTTTTTTGTCATTTGTTTGATCCAGCCACAAGAGCAATTTGTTTTTTTTATTGAACATGATAGTTTGAGAAGTCTAAAATGGTTTATATTTATATAATTATTTACATTTGTCAATCAGGAAGAGTGCATCAAATAGCTGGTTATTAGTATTTTGAGAATCACAAATCCTCAAAATCGCAGCCAACATGCACGTTCTACGATACAGCGTTGCCTCAACACTGTATAGAAGTGTCAGCCTGGACTGAATTCAATATCTGTCTTGGGGCTCAAATCCCCCAGTTTGGTAATGGGATGGGATTTCAGCCATTATAGATTAACTGGTAGTTCCCTCTGTGAAAGATTGCCAATTGATCACTCACCTGAACGCAGGTTTATGACAGCCCATGTCAACAGAATGGGATGAAGCCTCTCTCATTTTGCAAACAACTGTTAAAAATCATTGCATCTGCGAGCGAATTGCAGCACATTAACCAAAAGGTCACTGAGATGATCCTAATTAATGCATCTCAAGTTTACAGTAACACTCTGGTATCACATGCACAGAGACGCAACCTGCTGCATTTTTCTGCACTTGCTATTCAGTTCACACTGACTTCACACAGTATTATAGTGCGCCAGGCATTTAATCCTATCTAGTAATCTATCATTTCAACTGAGTAAGAAAGTGTTGTGTCACGTTAATGAATTGCTGCCGTATCCATGTTTGCATTTCTGAAGACATAAAGGAAGTACTATCAATGGGCATGTGGTTTGATTAATTTCCTTAGAAGGAAAATCCTGTCCTGATGATTAAACACTTAGAAATCCTTTTACAAAAATCGAATCCTCCCGGCTTCACAATGTTTCTTTGCAGAAAATAGTGTAGACACAACATCAGTAACAGACTTCCAATTTTAGCTTTGTGAAATTATTATCCTCCTCTCCTTAAAAACGGAATTGTCGGGATTAAATTTGCCAACATGAGTGAAGTGAAACCTATTTATTATTCCAGCCAGATTTGTTCTCAGGCTTCGACTGTATTGTTGTCACAGACCACACACTGATAATTCTTTTTTTTCCTTATACAACAAACAATATAGGCATCATCTTTGCAGCAGATAACAATATGTGTGGCATATTTTGGAAATATATCACCCGTTTGCCGGGAATGTGGATATCAATAAAACTGTGATTCAGCAAAATTTGAAGTCAAACAGCAACCACAGTACACCAGTGATTTTTACATAAGTATCAATCATAAGGAAGATCTCAATCATCCCATGAGAACTTTGAATGCTTACCTGAACAGGCAGATGGGAACGTTGGTTATCATCTCATTCAACGATGCAGCCTTGACTGAATTTAATATCGGGCTTGGGACTTGAATCCACAACTGCTGACTTAGAGGTGAGAGTCTTGGGGCACTCCTCAGTGATACCGGTGCTGAGGTACAAACCGTGATGAACAATTGGTTCAAGAACGCTAAGAAAGTGCTTCAAGAAAGTAGATTTGTCAGTGTAACACAAGATTATATTAAACATCATGCTTTAGGGAGAATTTCCACCTGGGTTGAGACTTGCATAAACTCTCTTTATGTAGTATTTCATGGAGTCCTGTAGCTCAGTGGTTAGAAGCACTCACCTCGAAAGTGAGAGACCTGGGTTCGATTCCGAGCAGGACGAGATGTTGGGCAACTTTCCTTGCTCCACACGTCTTTGTTTGTCTAGCAGTAAGTCGGAACTCAGTTGTTAGTCGATTGGCGGATTGCTTTTCCGGAGATAATAATCCTTCGAAAAAAAACAATAATAATTTGGTCACTCAATCCACGACTGTTTGTGGGACACTGCTGTGCGCAATTGGCTGCCATGTTTCGCCGTGTTAATTATTTCAGAGTAAAGGCTGAGTACAACAATTTGCAGAATTTGGTAAATTGTTGCACTCAGACTTGACTTTGAAATCAGGTTTCTGTTGTTTCTTAACAGAACTCGCAGAAAACCAGATTCACAATTAATTATAAGAATAATAATCTTTGCATTTGGTACAGCGCCTTTCACATTGTCGCGACGTCTCAAAGCGCTTCACAGGCTAGACTGTAAAGTGCATTGACTGTGTTGTGAGTGGACCAAAATTAACCATTTGCCAAATTCTGGTCACTCTAGTGCTGCCAAATGGCCTTTTCAGCCCCATAAATTTCTATGATTACATGAAAAGGGTAAATCTTGAACCAGGAGGAATTTCTCCCCCACTCATTGCTTGCATCACAACTATTTTTTGGTCAGCCAGGTGTCATGCACATGTAGAAATCCATCACCATGCGTCGGAGTATGCAAAACAAAACTGAGAATGCCACGTATCCCAACTACGATTCCCAACAACGGCATTCACACAGCAAAGCTACCTCATTCTCCAAATTTGCATCCTCATTCTTCCGTTTAAAGGCAGCATAACATCACATCAACTTTTTTAAAAATAAAAACGTAGTATTTAATTCTCTGAACAACTGTGCCTTAAAAATGCCTAATGTTTATTATTGAAACAACAAAAAACATTGTCACGCATCAAAGCAGCCCAGTGATGCACCCTTCTAAAAGACAAAATAATTACATGAATATTTCTCAAGACTATCCCACTGCAGAAACTTACATGAACTCAGACGTTTAATTCAACTCAAGTCAGCTCTATTTAACACAATGAAATATTCGGCAACAGAGGATCATCCTTTTTTGTTCTCATTTATTAAAGACCACATTTATCTTTTTTAAAAAAATACGCTCCAGATAAATCTTTCCTAAATTTCCTCCAGCATCAGAAATGGGTACGTGTGTTGCGCTACATGTGGAACCTATCTATTATTTGTTGGGGGAGAAGAAAAGCAAAAATGTGATTCAAAAGCTGGTAATAGAAAAGAAAACGAGATAATGGTTTTCATAATAGCAACAGCCAGTCAAAAAAGCTTCAAATACTATAGCTGTCACTTTGTATCTAGTGCGATTAGATTGCTTTCCAGGGTTCATCTTATAAATTCCCACAGCAACTCCAGATAATAAAATAGCTCAAATACAAGTCTAGCATGTACTTAAAATGTCTTTCATATATCTTAACTAGTCATTAATGTTTGAATTCGTTTGGAATGCATTAACCTTCAAGGTATATTAGATAAATCATGGAGATCGCTCACGGAGTTTTGTCTCTTATTGTTCTCAGTCAATGTCTGTGTGTCAGGTCTCCGGTGTTGAATAATGCAAGCGAGTACAAAGCGATTTCACACATCATCAGAACATGGTGTAATTTTTATTGCAGGACTCTTGATCCTGAATGATTTTTACAGGGGTTGTTATTTTTCATTCTGTACAGCCCATTGCATGCGCGTCTGTGTGTATGTGAATTTTCAAAGTCATTATTTCTAAAGAAATAAAACGATTAAGTTTGTAGCTCTTGTCTCAACCTCTGGCTTTTCATTGGAATTGTTCGAAAGTCGGATCTCTGCCTGGTGTGCGAGGTTCGGCTCTTGCACCGGTGCGTGTGCTGGTTTGCGTGTTACGTTTAACACGTGTTGAAAGTGTGTTATCGACTGGATCAATGGATGTGTGCGTCATAGTCCAGGCTAATGCTCCAGTGTCATGCTGGGGGAGCGCAGCATTGAGAGAGCAGCCGTCCTTGGGCCGAGAAATTAAACCGAGGTCCCACCTTCCTGTTTAGAGGGATTTAAAAGATCGTGCAACACTATTTGAAAAGAGAAGGGAGGTCCTCCAGGTGTCCTGGCCAACAATTCTCCCCAGGTAAGATTGATCTTCACTTCAGTTTGCTGGACATTTCCTATGTTTAAATTGGGTGCCACGTTTGCCTACAAATACAGTCACTACACATCACAGTAAATCCTGCAAAGCGCTTTGAGACATCCTCCTGACTAAAAAAAACCACAATATGAGGTGCAAGCATTGCTCGATTTTAAATACATTGGTAATTCTATCTCAACATTACACTGATCAGTCTCACATTATTAGGAAACTTATTAAGAAGTGATTAGTTTACGCCAAGGTTGGTGTGTTGAAGGCAAAGTGTTAGCTGTTAGCTCCCACATGGGTGTGCTGGATATGCAAGACCATGTGTTATAAGCAACACTTCCAATGTTGGCAAATTTACAAAGCAAAGAAACAGATGCACCAATAGATGCCAACATCAACTGCACTGGGTTCCTGACATAGCCGCGGCAAGGAAAAATCTTTGGCACATGGTTGAAAATAATGTAAAATAATAACCCTCACAGTCAATTCACTTTACAATATATTCTAAGAAACGCTTTGAGACATCTTGAAGTCTTGATAAGGCGCTGTATCAAATACCAGGATTATTATTTTTATTATTATTTCACACAATACCTTGCTCATCAGGAGAACATCTCAAAGCTTCATAGTTTGTAAAGTGACAGTAATTTCCAGATCAAATTAGATTTGTTTTTAAACATTGCATTTATTTTGCCTTTCCGCAAATACGCAAAAGATTAAATTGAAAACAAACCAATGCAACTATGGAATCAGAGAAATTGACAGCGCAGAAGGAAGCCATTTGGTCCATCGAGTCTGGACTGTCTCTCAAAGCAAGGAGTTCATTCAATCCCTGCCCTGCCTTATCCCCATCCTTGACGACAAAACAAGTTATATTATTCACCCAACTCCCGGTGCACAAGATTTCTAAGCAAACAGACCAACACCTCCGAAAAGATATGAACAGCTGTCTCTTAGGAATAAAGTGCATATTTGTTTGATCATCTCAATATTAACCCAGAAGCTTTTTTTTAATGTAAATAACATTTTTAATTATTTTTCAAAATAAAATTGGTCATTCACTCCACAGCTGGTTGTGAAACATTGCTGTATACAAATTGGCTGCCAAGGTTTGGCCTACAAAATCCACAATTGCTCTATCTTATGGAATATCCTGCAAAGTGCTTTGAGACATCCTCCCGATTCATGGGGTAAATTAAAAGAACATCCATCACATTGATTTGATGAACTATTCATAGCCCTTTTTGATAGGAACCAGTAAAATGTGTTTTAATTGCATCATTGAATATTGCAAACATTATAATTGTAATGAACTCTCTCGAAGTCCTGTCAGAAGCATTGGGCAGCAGAGCAAGAAAATGGCTTTGCTGTTTCAAGCAGCGTGAAAACCTTCATACAGCTTCTCATTGCTATTACAGGTGAAATAAGACTATTTCTTTGTTGTTATCACAGATACAGAACTCTTCCTAACACACATTCTGACACTTTCTGCAGCTCAAAACCCTTGAGAACCAATGGCTTTTCCTTTACAGCCCAGATCCAGTTCCTTTCCATGACCTCTCCACATTCGTTACTATGTTATTTGGATTTTAAATTCCAAAGTAGAAAGTTCTGTTACCCAACTATAATTTCTGTCTTTCTCAGGTACCAACAACCACAAGCTTTTCAACACATGAATGCCAGTGTTCGAAAATAAAAGTGCACCGCAAATAGTAATGACATTGTAAAAGGAGTAATGTGATTTGAGAAGTGAATAATATGTTTAATGAGATTCCAAGGTTCAAAAGGTTGATACAGTCCTGTCCACAATGTCTCGCAGAACGTGTACAAGCTCGAAAATTCCTGTTGAGTCAAGTGCCATATCCTGAGAGCTGATTTGACCTTGTAAACATAGTGAGTAGAGTAAAACGCTTGAATTTTTTTTACAAAAATAAGTCTGTTTATTAACAAAACTAATTGTAAGATAGCATTGCACATCTTAGCTGATCATGTTGCTAAAGTATCCTATATCAATATTAATATTTAAAATATCCCTTCAAAAAAATTGAATATATAAAAATAATAATAATTTAGTCACTCAATCCACGATGTTTGTGGGACACTGCTGTGCGTGATTTGCTGCCGCATTTCACCCACAATATATACAGTCAATCCATTTTACAGTCTATTTTGTGAAGCACTTTGAGACATCTCAAAGACATGATAAGACACTATATTGAATGCAAGGATTATTATATTATTGTAATGCAGACTTAATGTTACATTGTACTCTCTGTACTACAATTAGTTAGCAAGTTGACTTACTTTTGTTTTATATTCACCTTGTCAGCACTTATATGTATTATCTTAAGTCTCCCGTTACTAACGGAGAAAATGAGCAGAATTGTCAAGCTGTTGCCTCTATTCATCTTTATTAACCTGCAGACACCAGACCTGCTGAAAGGAATCAGGAGTTGTTAATTAATGGGACGTTAAAGCAAAGCAAATACCATTTACATGTTAAGCATAATCTGCTCAAATCAGTGTGAGAATTATTCGAATCTTCGTGTTGTCGCTTCTTTAAATTGAATGTATTCCGATTCACATTGGCATCAGAATATCACAATTGAGTCAATGCCCTGTGATGGGCTCAGTAGCCCAGGGTCCTTCTGACATGAAAGGTTCTATATAAGTGTAAATTGCATTGTATTGTACCAGCTTATCGACAGAACTTGGAGGGCAGACTGTGCTCCTGCTGTGTAAGGCATCCAAATGTAATAACCAAATGTAAGGATCATCATTTTTCTTCCCACTAAGCTTCTGTTAACCCTGCAAGTCAAAGCCCTAAGGTGGACAATGAGCAGGAAGCTTGCCAGACAGTGCTCCCAATGGCAAGCTCTGCATTTTTAACTGATTAA